AAACACTGGTAGTATTTAATAAACACATCAGCAGCAGTATTAAAGCATGAACAAAGTGCTCTATGCATCTGCAATAGTACCAACATTAGGGCATGACATCATTCTTTCAACTTCAAAAACTTTTCCTCCGTGCTTTTTCCTACCCCATTTTTATACAAGACGCAGCTCGCAATGCGATTCTAATATTAATTTACTGTTATCAGGTTTCTGACCCCGGACTTACCATTGCAGTAGCCTCTTTTGAAAACGAAAATCCACGGCAGTTTTCCGGAAAATGTTGTAGGATTCGGCATTTGTATGGACCATTTGTCGAGGGTTGTGGATCTTCAGTTGCTGGTTTAGCTAAATGCAAAAAGGCTATATTTATATTGAGACAAAATTAACAACTTTGTACTATTGAAAAGTGAATGTGCATTGAGTTATGCCTCCGCAGTTTTTGATAAGTTGAGTACAGACCTTTTAGTTCTAACGTATTACTCCCTTACCTATTCTGTAAAGCTGATAAATGAGCTGGAACTGGACAAGGAAAACGTTTCCGGACGAAAACGAATCCCCCACATATGTATCTTAATGTCGTTTTAGGATTTGTGATGTGTTATTTTGGAAACAAATTGTGAACGGTAGTGGCCTACTTTTTTTAGGATGACAACGGATTTCAGATATTTTACTTTATGTATTGCATTAAACTGCAAGTGTCGGCAGGCGATGCCAACTTACCGCTGCAGCGATATTCTTTCCATTGATACAAGGGATATTGTAACTTGTTTTGCTTGTACTCAACGTATCTGTCAAAATGCGTTTCGGTTAAATGCATTTAGATGATTTCGCAAAACAAAAATGTATACAGAGCGAACTTAGGTAAGATTTAAAGGACTTTTGGGACGAATTACGTTTTGCTTCTGACGTCTGCAGTTACTTCAAAATCGCAATTCTACCCAAGAAATTTTAACGAAATATGAGTTGACCCAATTGTGAAAAAACTCGAGGCGTTTTGCGGGATTTGAACCCGCGCATCAGAGAAGACCTTTGCCGGAGGTCGATGCTCTAACGAAATACTCATATATAGAAGGATACACTATAGCAGCGGCCAACCGATACGCGTCACCTCTAAGAGATTTAGCGTTTCCCAAGAGTAATATTTGAGTGACTTTAAAACACAGAAGTAAGGTTTAATGAGATGAACGTTCCTATTTGCCGTAACTCTATAAAGACTATAACACCAATTTCAGTTTAGCTTAAAATGTGCAGTGATTGTGTCTGTATTTGCCACTGGAATAAATGGGAATAACGTTTTGCATATTTTCCGTATACCTTATCAGTCAGGGAAACAGCGTGCGAACATCGGCTTGATTCCTTCTACTCCTGTTACTCTGGAAATCGAGTACATTAGTAAACTATGGTAAAATTCTATATCGAATGTGCAAAGGTCAAGTGTCCGCACATAATAATGCTAATATTCTCCTCACAATTACTCCAAATGTTGCCGGTCATTTAATAAAAAAGATAACTACAAAGTGTTGGTTTTTACAGCACTCATAGCAATGTCCTAGGTTCAAAGATCCTAGTTGTTCTAGGCCAATTTTCGGCCCATGTATATGGCCATTCAACGCCGGGCAAAGAATTGGCCTAGAAATACTACGACCTTTGGACTTATGACATGGCTCTCAGGGAATAACGCGCGTTTTGACCATTAATTGTCAGTTAGATTGTTTGAACTGTACCATATATGGAATCGGATTCGTGTCGAGTTGGATTTGGATTTGCTATTAGGGTATGCGTACATGATGGTCACTCTGCCATCAGTAAGGAGCCCAAAGGCATAAGCCTACTCCTTAATAAAACTGAACTGAAATGGAATGATCATTTCATTTCGAACGTCATTCCAACGGCGTACGCGTGCATGCACGCTTATGAGCGATTATAATCGCAAATGGCAAATGACCGGCATTAACATCCGAACAGTGAACACACATCAGTCCATAAAAAGACGAAAATTAGAATGAAATTAAGAGAGAATCACTTAGAATATTTGACGATTTTAAAACATATTCATAAATATGACAAATATCATTCATTTTTTTACCCGGAAAATGGGGCTCCAGTTCCATTTCGGTATCCAAGCCAGCGGTGAAAAAGTAGTCCACCAAAGAAGCCATCTTCCAATATGGATGGTTAATCAAACTGCCTGGCAAACACTGATAAATCTCATCCTATACCAAAATAACGGCCAACTTGTCCTTGGTTGGATAATTTAAAAGGTTGTTATAAATTAAGGCAATTAAATAAATGTAGTAAAAGAATCAGGTCAAATTTGCAAAGTTTAGGCGTTCACGGCGCTTAGAATTTCAAAGACCCAGAGATGTGGTTTGTTACCAGATGAAAGCACTGACACATGTACAATATTAGATGATTAAAGACGACTTAGTAAATGAATCAGTAAATAACTTAACAATCAAGGCGGGAAACTATTTTTGTGTTTGAATATAATCTTAATATTACAAGACACATGTTGTCTGTTGCCACGAGACCTATTTTACAACCTCTTCACAGTCCCTATCTTGCAAGCCTATGCGACTGCAGCCAAACATGCACGAAGTCATCCAATTCTATATATTTTAAGGTATTGAACTTGTTTTTTTTTGTCATCGAACAGTTGCTTCTTCTCACATGCATTCCCATTTCCGATGAATATTTAAGAGCGTAGCTAAGTAAAGCA